AACACACGTTTCTTTTATAATTTTCAATAGATTTAACAACGGATTTAAACGAATTAATGAAGGAAATTTGTAAAGTTTTGTATTTATTACATTTATTTGTAATATTAGAAAAAAAATGGTGATTTTAGTTTATAGAAACGTATGGATATCATGAAAATGTTCTAAATTACGTTTTTTTATAATTATATAAATGGAAAAAATGGAAAACTTGGATTTGTTCATAGAAGTGTGTATAATTGAAGGAAAACTAAAAAAAATGTAAAAATTTGAATCGTTTATTTTTATAATTGTGATGATTTTTTTTAACAATTTTTAAGTTTTTTTGTGTGTAATTGAAGGAACAATGAGTAATTCAAAGTGTGTAATTATATGGTTAAAATTTTAATTGTGTGAAATGAAAAAAACTTGTGTGAATTTAATAAACGTCGATTTGTTTATAAGTATAACAAAAAATCATGCAATACAAATGGTAATGTGAAAAGTTTTTATTAAATCTGAAAATAATGCAAAAATGTTCGAAATAATTTATGTTTCTTTTAATTAATACAATGTAATTTTATAATTATTATGAAAAATGTAGGCGTATAATTGAGGGAATGAAAAGTAATGGAAAGAGTAAAATTTTATTTTAGTGTTGAAATTGTACAAGTTATTATACGAAATTTGCTGCAGTAAAATGAAAATGTAATGCAGTTAGAATATGAAAAGTTAGTAAAATGAAAATTGATAATTGATTTCAATCAATTATTTTCAATTGTAATTTTATACAAATTGTAAGTATTTTTTAGGTATAATTTAGAGAAAGAAAAATAATTGGAAAAGTAAAATTTTAGTGTAGAAATTATACAAGTTTATGTAGTAAACAAATATCAAAAGTTATTACACTTGGTTGTAAGAAAATCTTAAGATTTTAGTAACTTTTTTTTATATGAAATCACACTTTCTTAGTTTCAAAATAACTTTGATAAATCTTCTGACTTTTGTGGTCATTTTAATTTTATATAAAAATCATCTAGTTATCGTCTAGTGAACCTTGATTTACTATTGAACAAAAGACAACTGAATGAATGCGGATGAAGATGCAAGATTCTATAAATTATAATAATTTAATTTAATAATTCTACTAAAAAAAAAACTGTTTTTCACGTTTTTTTGTGGTAGAATGAAATGAATGGGGGAGTGAGTAAAATTGTACGGTTTTTTTGAAATTATTTCGTATCGGTGATGACGAAGTAGAAGAAGTTCCCAATTACACGCAGACCGCGTAATTATTTAGTGCGTGGAAGAGTGAGAAACGAAACAATAACAATATGAATAAAAAGGAAGAGACGGTACGAAAATTAACAATGAGACAAATTGCATATTTAGCTGCTAACGAGAAATAATTCGTGTACGAATTATGTAAATAATATAGATGAGCGGCGAGGCGTGAAAGAAGTATGTGTGGAAACGTTGCCGTATCTTCGGCCTAATCGCAAAGAGCGGACTTGTTGCATTGTTTATAGCTATAGAAAAAAAAACTGCATTCCTTGGGTGATTTTGTTTTGTTTCTTTTTTTTTTTTGTTTTTTTTTGTTAATCGTTGCATACGGCAGAGGACGCCATGTGCGAAGTTCCCATTATTATCAATTACACAACGAGAGCGAACGGTTATGATCATCCGACAATCAACATAATCTGAATCATCATCATCATCATCATCATCATAATTTCATCAGTTTTGTTGAATTGTTTGCCCGTGTGCGGAGACCTCAAACCGTGCAATTTCGCTATTGTCGCGCGCTTCTATTGGAATGGGAGCGATGCAGTTATTTGCGGGAATCATCTTGTAAATCGTACGTTTCTCTTGTTAAGGAAATCTCTCGTTCAAAGCGTTTCTGTTATGTTTTTATGTATTTTATAATCTAAAGCCTGCTGCTATTAGTTATGTGATACTTGTCAATTGCAACGTTTTTTTCTATCAAGTTACCTTTGATAGACCAACAATTCTACATCAAAAAATGGAACAAAATATTTTCTAGCGTAAATCGAATAATTCTTAATAGTCAAATTTTTCAATAAAATTACGTAAGACTTATTTGTGTGCATCAACACAGTTAATAAAATTTCAATACTCAAGTAAAAATTACATAACATATTAGAACTTACTTTGATTTTGTTTATTTGTTTATTATCATTTTCTCTAGAAAATTATTTAGTAATTGATCATTAAATCTTAAATCTGTTAGTCAAACATAATATAACATTGATTCAAATTATCTTAGTTTTATTTAGTTTAATTTTACAGTTAATCACTTGGACTTTTCAAAAGAAAATTGTAGTATTTTTCGTCGTTTTAATTGAATGATCTAAATTCAATAAAAATGGTGATTTTTTTTATTATACTTATATAAATGTTTCATAATTCATTAATAAAAAATATTAGTTAATAGTTAGTTAAAATATTTCAATAATTTACATTTAATCAAATCGATTCCGCAAAGCATTAAATAATTCTTATATAATTAAACTTAATTTTAACTAATTATAGAAAAATATGTGTTTTTTTTTTAAATTATTGACTAAGATAATTAATATCTTTTAACTTTATTTCATTTTAATCTTAAGATCTTACATATGGTAGTGAAATCTTTTAAGAAATGTTGGATTAATGTTAAGAATATTAGAAAATAACAAATTTTGTACAGTTTGCCAATTGGTATTAAAAACTTGTAAAAAATGTTGATATTAATGTTAAGAATGTTGCATTTTTTTTTCAGTTTTTTCTTTTTGGTACAGTAATTTGAAGCAATGTTGAATGGTTGAATAGCGCGCAAACGTGTGCAAATCCAAATCGATCCGACCTTATAAATATGCAATAGTCCGTAATTCCCCAATTGCGAATAACAAGCTTAACTGTTTGATTGGTTATGTGGCGAATATTGACTGTATTGTTGCTGTTGCTGTTGTTGTATTTCCCATTTGACTGTTAAGGTTTTTCAATAGTATTCTTGTTATTGTATAACTAATAATTATTACTTAGTTTACAAATACATATGTTGAAATGAAGGCAAATTCTTTCAAGTTTTTTTTTCTTCTAAAGTAATAATAATTGCAATTGTAATATGATCAATTAAAAAAAAAATAACGGTAAGTTTTAGTTAACTTAATTTTAAAGAAATTTCATGAAGATTTATTAAATAACAAGAAAATTTGTACATTTTGTTATTACATAATATAGATAAATAACGATTTAATAAGTTTGTTATATTTCCAATTTTTATTCATAATTTTTTTGTGGTTTCAACAATATTCTTATAATTGTATAATTAGAAATTATTTCTCAGTTTATAAACAAAAAGATAAAATTAAAATGTAGTGAGATGAAGTTTTTTCTTCTAAATTATCGTACTAATAATAGTAAATTAATTGATTATAACAAAAAAATACTAATTAAGTTTTTTAAATTGAATTTCTTTGGTTTTTATTGAATTTTTATAGTAAATAAGTACAGATTACATTAAAGTAGAAATTATAACATAGTTAATTTGATTTTTTTTTATTACATAATTTAGAAAAAAAAAACGATTTAAGTTCAAATGGGAAATATTTATTTTTACGGATTTTTTGAGAATTTTTTCTTTTGGATAATTATCATATAATTAGTGGAAATACATGTATATAGAGGCTTTTTTTTAATAAATTATGTAATTATTATATAATATACGTTTCAAATTAAAGTTGTGAAAGAAAAATGTTGATATAAATTTGATTAATTGTTTAATAAGAAATTAATTGAATAACTTGATATAAAATCTAACTTGTAAGTAATTTAATGTATATGCTCATTTATGAATATAAAGAATCTAGTAAGTTTTGCATATGAAAATATGTTTTTTTTTTGCTTTTAGTTCAAATATTTTTGTTTTGTTTAAACTGCAAGAAAATTACTTAAATTATTCGACAAACAAACTAACTAATTTAAGAATTATTGCATAATAGTTGTTGTACTAGTTAGACATTATTGGAACGTCGTCAGTGTTTGCATTAAAACTTGGGGAAACTAATCGAATTCCGTCTGTTTTTTTTTCTGTTTTTTGTTGTTGTTGTAAAGAATCGAAGAGCATCGCGCACAAAACATAACGAACGTCGCTCAATTAGTGACAGAATTATTGATAAACGTTGAAAATGAGAAGTAAATAATTGCGAGGAAACGAGCTGTTTTTCTCTATTATTATTCTCTCTTTTTTATTTCTTCTCCTAGTTCCCCTCCTCCTCCTACGCCTCTCACTCCGGTAATATTGAAAATTAATTGGGAGGCTTTCGCTCAGCCGGAGTGCCATTAAATAATTATCGGATTTGACAGATACGTCAGACGACGAATTTTGACAGGTAAAAGGATGAAATAATCGTGACGACGGTAAATTGCGAATTACGTCGAACGTCGTCGTTGTTGTTGTTGCGAGTGCGAGGGTCAATTAATTAGTACTAATTTCCGATAATCGGGGCCGCACCAATTATAACAACGTGTGCACACTAAATATTTGACAACTATCGTCAAAATAGCGCGGAGGCTTGAAATAAACGGCACAGGAAAATCGGACAGACACGTCCTCCTCCTCCACCACCTCCTCCTCCTCCTCCCACCACTGTGGTGTTGAGAGAGAGAGAGAGAGGAAAAAAAAGGGACGTGTCGGCAATCGCGTTCGTCGACACGCCCACACGTGGGAAACGCCGCACGCGATTCTGAGCGTTACGATTGGTGCGACGCAGAGGCGAGTTTCGTTTTTCCGCTATGGAAACGCCGTGCGCAACGACGCCGCTCTCCGATTGGTGCAGCAATAACCAAGCCCCATTCAAGGGTCCTTTTCAGAGGGAATATTAGGGAGTATCTTAACGCGACTCGTTTTTCAAATTGGAGTCGTCAGTTTGCACCCACATTTGCTTGGGAACGGTTGACTTAATAATACAGAGACTTTATTTTATCGAAAATTGAAATAACAAAAAAATTGAAATTACATAATTTGTAATAAAGCTCGTTTTTTTTTTCCCTAAATAATATTAATAAGACAATTTTTATGCGGTTGTGTGGTACACCTCTATAGAGGTATAGACAAAGTGGTTTTTGATTGTTTGTATTTTTTGTTGTTGTTGTCGAAATCAGTGATTTGTGTTGTTTGTTTTATTATTATTATTATTTTTTTTATCGACTTTTGATTTCGGCTATGCGATTTTGGTAGCGTGAGAAGCGAGGAGTCGCTGGTATTTTCGGTATTTCTCTTCTTTTTTTTGTTTGTTCGTTGCTTTCTGATCGGGGGGGTTGTGGACTTGCGTGAGGAAAGATGAACAATGAGGGTTTAGAGAGTACGGTTCACGTGACGGCGCCGAGTATATTGAATAAGGCGCCGCAGACGATGCCGCAGAGGTCGCCGTTCGCCATCCAGGAGCTGCTGGGTCTGGGCGACTCTCAGCACAGGTCGCCCACCGCCGCCGTCTCCGCGATAACGCCGAACGTTTACCCGCAGCGGCACATCCAAGCGCCGACATGTTTCCCGTCGGATCACGGCTTCAATCATCACCACATGACGATGGCGGCCAGCAGGATGGCGTATTTCAATGCACAGGCGGCCGTCGCGGCCGCCTTCCTGCCGCACAACATCGCCGCCGCCGCCGGGATGAACGCGAATCCTGCGGGAGCGTCGCCGGCGGCGGTGCTCGGACTCACGCATCAAGCTTCCGGAGCATCCGGTGAGTAATTCGCACACAGAAAAAATATCTTCAATAGAAATCATTAAATCTTAGTTTAGCATTAGCACAAACATTTTAAAGAAACCATAGTTACTTCAGTTGATTCGTTTGTTACCTGAATATAGTTGAAATACAAAAAATAAACATTTTCTTTTAAAATACATTAAAATCAAGTCAGGTATTAAATTTCAGCAATAGTTTCATTAAAAGAAATATGTGGTACTTTTTGGAAAAGTCAGGCAATTTTAAGCTTAAATCGTATAATATGTGAATTTTAGTGATTTAGATTACAAAAGGAATCAATTTTCATATATTAGTAACAATAAACTTATTTCACGGTATTCTTCTATACAATTTTTCTTTTCATCACAACATAAAACAAAACTGACTACTGATTACTTGAATGTAGATTTATACCCATTTGCTGTTTCCAATTGCAAAACAAATTAATTTTGTATACAATATAGAGATTGTATTAAAGTACTAACAAGTATTTAAGTCTGTTTTGCCTCTCTTTATAATTGAAATTATTAGATAAATGTGCCGGTATTTATAAGTACTATTAGACGACAAAGAGTTAAAATCCTATTTGATTATTTCAAGAAAAAATAAGGAATAAATCTGTGTGTATTTATTTATAAAATTAGTGTAAATCTCATTTAATGAATGTAATAATCGAAGTTACCAAATCTCAGACAGATATTCTTTAGTCGTCTTTTATTACAAAGCATACAACAAAATTCATTTTTTTCCCATTAAAATCCTATTTTCATTGCTATAACAAAATTTCGTAATTATCAAATCGGAAATGTTCTTCAATGTTTAAAATGTAGTAGAGAAATTTCAGATTTCAGAAATTTCTTGTTGTTCAAACAAATCAAGTTTTCTTTATCTAAATTTTATTTCAATGATGATACTATAATGGAAAAATAATTTACTTAATAAAAATTCTCTATAATAAATCGAATAAATTTGATGTAAAAAAAAGTATATATAAATTTGGAATTTTAATAAATCTATGAAATTGTTAGTTGACAATTTTCAATAATTTAAGTCTTTAATTTAGAAATTTAACATTTTTTTTAAGAAATTAAGGTTTTTGGTTCATTGGCTAGAAAATATTTTTTTGTAATTGTTTTGTAATTATTGGAAATTAATATTTGAGCGTTTGAGAATTTCGTCGCCGTTAATTTAGTTAATTGCACGATTCTAATCGAATTTACAATAATTCAATTGCAATAATAATAATTAAATGTTGCGATTAATAATTTCATCGCGATTAGATTAAAATTAATTAATTTTACATACCAAATCATAATTATTGTTATTAGATAAACTCAACTCGATAAATTCTGCTTTAGTTTATTAAAATATTTATTAATTTAACAATTTTTTTTATTAAATAAAATTTATCTAAATTTAAGTAGTTTTTAAGTTGTTTATATAATTAATTATAAATTAATTAACAAAAACTTTCATACAAAAAAAATTGACGGTAATGAAACAATAGATGGAAAACTTTTTATTCTCTAAAACAATTGAATAAAAGACAATCGATTTGGTAATTGTAATTATTTTTCAAGTGTGTAATTTAGTTGTGCAATTGTTTCTTTTTTTCTTCATTATTACAAAATTTTGATCAGTTTAAATTGATGTTATCGTAATTAATAATGAACAAAAAAAAATGTGAAAAGTAAATTTCTTAATTAAAGAAATAAATTCTTAGGTTAGGTTAATTGATTTCTGCAAACAAAACAAACAATTGACATAAGAGAATTATAATTGATTGTTACTATGAGAACTGAAATAATTGCATTATTTCAACGAATGTTGATTACATTTTATTTGAATAATGTAACTAGTAATTAATTATAATTTTCTATTGTTTTCTAAACAATCAATTGTTTGGTTATGTTAATCAATATATAAACAAAAATGTTATAAACAAACAAGAATCAATTGTTGCTATGACAACTGAAATAATTGCAATATTTCAACGAACTTTGATTATTTTGTTCTAAATTTAAATTAAATTATAGAACGTTGTGTGTATATGAACGTTGTTTCCACTGTGAGTTTGTTTAATGATCGCAAATGAATCTAATTTTGATTAACGCGAGCTTTAAATATTGAAATGCCGTTTGTTCATTAAGAAGTGAGAGAAAAAAAAACCGGTAATTATAGAGTAACATTGAAGAAGAAAAAGAAAAAAACAAGAGACAAGATTAACAAATTAATCACGTCTTCCTGTTTCGTTTCGTTTTTTTTTTATTATTTCACGGAAAAGGGGGGCGCGCACACTAACACAAATACACAGATGGAATGAAAGAACACGTACACACACAAATACAATGTAATAACAATAATCGGCGGGAAAATTAATTCAGTTTACACGCGCCGTCGCCTCGTATAATTTGTAACAAACAATTACGCGTTACCACGAATAATACAAGAGAGGAGGAAATAATACAAAAAAAAAAATAATAATAACAAGAGAGAAACACACATAAAAATTGTACAGAAATAATACATATGAAATCATTTTTCCGCACAGTCATTTCTTTCGTTCGGAAATTATACACACGCTCTTCTCTTCTCTTTCTCTCTCTTTTTTTTTAACGAATCATTGTATGGAATGGCCGTTATAAAACTCTACATATGTATGGTGTTTTTTTTTTATTGTTATTGTGAATGCGCGTTTTATTCACGGATTGTTTTGCGGACATCCGACGTTTGGAAGAGAGAAAAAAAAATATGTGTATATAAAATTTTTGTGTGAAAATGTATAAAAACGAAATAAAATACGCTGTAAATCTTTCATTCATAACACTGAAATGTATTCAGTTCTTACAATAAGTTGTATAATTCAATTGGTTTTAATGAAATCAATGAGTGAACTTGTAAAATCTTCATTATTTTTTATTCAGAAATTCCAACAAAATTAAAATAAATAATTTGAATTAGTTATAGACAATTTTTTGTAAATAGTTCAAGTATGAATGAATGTATGAAAAATTTGTAATTTTTTTTAAATTTAACGAGAAATTTCTACATATCAAATATTTGCGAAAATTTCGAAATTTTGTAATATCAAAAAATGAAATTCAAAATTTTATTCAGAAATTCCAACAAAATTAAATAATTTGAATGTGTTTTAGACATTTTTTTTTTGTAAATAGTTCAAGTATGAATGAATGCATGAAACATTTGTAAAATTTTCTAAATTTATCCAGAAATTTCTACATATCAAAAAGAAAGTTTAAAATTTGATTAATTTCAATAAAATAACCATTATTTTCTATGTTAATTGATTTGATTTTTTTTATAAATTTAGTTTAAGTATGAATGAACTCGTAAAATCTCCAAAATGTTATTCAGAAATTGCAACTAAATAAAATTAAATAATTTGATTTAGTTTTTAGACAATATTTATTAGATATTATTTTTGTAAATTTATACTTTCTTTTCTTAATTGTTATCTAAAGAGTTGAAGTATGAATGAACGCATAAAATATTTGTGAAATTTTCGAAATTCAAATAAAATTCAAAATTTTATTCAGAAATTCTAAAAAATAAATAATTTCATCAATTTTTGAATTAGTTTTAGACAATATTTATTAATGTTTTTTTTTAATTTATACTGTTTTTTTCTGCTTAATTGTTTTGTAAACAGTTGAAGTATGAATGAAACGCATAAAACATTTGTAAAAATTTATCCAGAGAAACAAAAAGTTTCGAATTCGAGTAATTTTTTTGTATTGGTTTTAATCAATATTTAGGAGATTTTTTTTGTCGTTGTTGTCGATTGATAATAGTTTTGTATAGAGTTATCAATGAACGCAATGTTCTTATCAATTTATTTTAGATAATTGATGTTTGTAATTTGTAAAATTGAAACATTTGTATACACTTTTATAATTGAAACATTTTCATATATTTCTATAAAAATTGAACTTTTATTATAATTAATTAATTGATTTTTTGTTGTTGTTAATATTTGTCAATGAGTATTCTCGCATATCGTATAGATTCTATATTAATTGAGTTTAAGTATTTATTTGTATTTCATTTATTGACTCGTACAAGTATATAGATTATTTGCTCGAGTCTTGTAATTATGTATTAATCGAAGAACATATCAGAACACACAAGAATTTATATATTTACACGGAAAAATGTACAAATATTTGTGTTGACAAAACATAATCGAAAAGTACACGCATTAATAATGAAAAATCAGTGATAAATGTTTATATTTTCAAAATTTAATTTATTTTTTAGTTTATTTTTTGGTTTGGTCGATAGATTTTTAAAATAGAATAGAAATTTTATTGACAAATTTCAAAGAATTTTGTATTTAAATTAATAAATTGTTATTAATTACTTATTATTTAAGATGTAATTAAATTGATACGAATTATCACCATTTCTTGCTTAACTTTCTTCAACTGTCATATGAATCTCGTCAATTATTTCAATTTCAGAATATTTGTGTTTTGCTTTTTTTTATCAATCAATGATAAATGTTTATATTTTCACATTTTAATTAAATAAAACTTTATTTTTTTTTGGGCAAAAATACTTTGGTCGATAGACTTTTAACAGAAATGAACACCATTTCTTCTTGCTTAACTTTCTTCAACTGTCATATGAAAATCTTGTCAATATGTCAATTATTTAAATGTCAGAATATTTGTTTATCTTGTCTCTCTCCTGAAGTGTTTTGTTTTTTCCAAATCACAGCCCACTTCGAATCACACAACGCCTCTACTAATAACATACGTACACACACTTGGACCTAAACAAATAGTTGTTTTTTTCCACAGTGTTTAGTTTGAACTTAGGATTAAAGCTTTTTTCAAGAATTTAACATAATGATCATCATTCTCCAGTGTTTCAATTACAAATTTATTAAAACTTTTCGAAGAATTTAACATTACTTTTGTTTTGTTTCATTTTCAAATTTATTAAAGATCATCATTTTCCACTGTTTCAACTTC